TTAGGGGCCCCCAAAGAGGGGCCCTCCTTAGGGGCCCCCAAAGAGGGGCCCCCCTTAGAGGCTCCCAAGGGGGCCCCCTTGGGGGGCCCCAGCGAGCCCATTTTGGGGGCTCCCAAGGGGCCCCCCTTGAGGGTCCCCAGGGGGCCCCCCTGAGGGCTCCCCGGGGGGCCCCCCTGGGGGCCCCCCTGGAGGGCCCCCTGGGGGCCCCCCTGGGGGGCCCCCTTAGGGGCCCCTTTAAGGGCTGCGCCCATAGAGGGACCCGGTGGTTTCTGCTGGTGCTGCTGCAGCGGCTGCTGCTGCTGCTGCTGCTGCTGGGGGTTTAGCTGGTCTAGGGTTTGCGTTTGGAAGTGTTTGGAGACGAAGTTGGCCAAAATGGAATTAGGGTTTAGGGTTTGGGAAGGCCTCAAAAGGGTTTCGAGGTCCAGAGACTGCAGCAAAGCTTCCAAAGACTTTATGTACATTTCGTTCAATTCCTGAAAACACAAAATAATAAATAATAAATACTAGATAAATAAACAAATAATTTTATCGATTGATTAATTAATTAATTTTAATTAATTTTGATTAATTAATTAATTTATTTATTTATTTGTTCATTTGGGATGTCTTTTGGGTTGCACGTCAAAAGGAAAAAAGAAACTGAAAAAAGAAAAGACAAAAAGGAGAAAAAAGAAAGGATAAAAAATAATAAAAAGAAATAAAAAGAATTCAAAAAAGAAATTAAGAGGAAATTAAAAAGGATTTAAAAAGGATTTAAGAAGGATTTAAGCTGAAGTTAAAAAGAAATAAAAAAGAAGTTAAAAAAGAAATTAAAAAAGAAATTAAAAAAGAAATAAAAGAAATAAGAAGGCGATGAAAGAATAAACAGTTGTTTCTCTCTTTCTTTCTCTTTTTTTTATTTCTTTATTTTTATTTTTAGTTTTTAATTTAATTTCTTTTTTGCCTTTTTGCTGCCAGCTCGCTCACGAGTTCGGGGGATTCGTGCTGCTGCTGCATCTGCAGCGGCAGCCCTCGCATTTGCTGCTGCTGCTGCTGCTGCTGCTGCAGCAGCACTTTAACTTGATCAAGTTTGAACTTGACTTCCCGATTTGTTTCTTTGCAAAGAAGCAGCAGTTTTTTTCTCAAAGAAGAGACAAGAGCAGCAACAGCAGCAAAGTCCATGTCTTCCGGCGTGCTCCACTGGTTTGCTGCTGCAGCAGCAGCAGCAGGAGCTGCAGCAGCAGCAGCAGCAGCAGCAGCAAACTCAGCAGCCTCCTTTGTTCGTTTATGCTTCGCTGCTGCAGCAGCAGCAAATCTGTTTGTCTCCTCTTTTTGTCTCCAGTGGTCTGCTGGTGCAGCAGCAAATTGTTTTTTCTCCTTTTTGTGTCTCGAATGGTCTGCTGCTGCTGCTGCTGTTGCAGCAAATTGTTTTGTCCCTTTTGCTTTTCTCTTTTCGCCTTCGAAGCGCTGCAACTCTTTTTCCCAATTCCAAATTGAATAAACATCTGAATAAATAAATAAATAAATAATTTCATTATCTAATTAATTATTTATATGTTTGTTTTATTATTTACTTTATTCATTTATTTTATTTATTTTTTATTTATTTTTATTTATTTTATTTATTCGTCTTCTTGCCTGCGTGTCTTCTGCAATAGTCCAGCAGCTGCAGCACGGGGCTGCTGCTGCAGTTAATTGTTTGGACCCCTTCATTTGCTGCTGCTTCTGCTTCCGCTGCTGCTGCTGTTGCTGCTGCTGCTGATGTGTCTTCTACTAGTTTGTCTCCCAGTTGCGGGGTCATGCGTCTGTGTGCTGCTGTGTCTGCTACTGCTGCTGCTACTGCTGCTGCTCCTGCTGCTGCTGTTGCTTTTAGCTGCTCCTCCACGCTGTGCAGCAGCAGCAGCAGCGGCGGCCGAGACCTCAGCAAGTGAATTAGCCTGTAGCTGCGGCCATCTGCTGCTGCTGCTGCTGCTGCTGCTGCTTGAGGAGAAGCTCCTGGTTCTTCTCTTGTTGCTGCTATTGGTGCTGCCTGTGGTTTTGATGGTGCTGCTGCTGCAGGTTTCGCTGCTGCTGCTACTGCCGGTTTTGCTGCTGCTGCTGGTTTCGCTGCTGCTGCTGCTGCCGGCTTTGCTGCTGCTGTTGTTGTTGCAGGCTTTATCAATGCTGCAGGTTTCGCTGGTGCTGCTGCCACTGGTTTTGCTGCTGCTGCTGCTGCTGGTTTTGCTGCGGTTGCTCCTGTTGCCTTTGCCGGCGTTGCTGCTGCCGGTTTCGCTGCCGCAGTTGCTGCTGCTGGCTTTGCTGCTGCTAGCTTTGCTGCTGCAGTTGTTGCTGCTGGCTTTGCTGCTGCAGTTGCTGTTCCTGGTTTCGCTGCTGGAGTTGCTATTGCTGGCTTTGCTGCTGCAGTTGCTGCCGGTTTTGCTGCTGCTGCTGGTTTTGCAGGTTTTGCTGCTGCAGCAGCTGCAGCGGGGCTCTTTGGGCTGAAAACAGCAGCAGCATCAGCAGGAATCTTGATGCTAGCTGTTGCTGCTGGTTTTGCTGCTGCTGCTGGTTTTGCTGCTGCTGCTGGTGCTAGTGGTTTTGCTGCTGCTGGTGCTAGCGGTTTTGCTACTGCTGCCGCTGCTTTGGGTGCTCCTGCTGCTCCCACTGGTTGTGGCACTGCTGCTGCTGCTGCTTTTCCTGCTGCTGCTGCTGCAGACTTCTCCGCCACTGCTGGTGTTGCTGCTGCTTTAGTTGCTGCTGCATTTATTGCCGCTGCTCCTGCTGGCTTCGATGCTGGTGCTGCTGCTGCTGCTGGCTTTGCTGCTGCTGGTGCTGCTGCTGCTGGTTTTGCTGTTGCTGCTGCTGCTTCCTTGACCCCAGGCATCGGCTTAACTGGAGGTGCTGCTGCTGCTGCTGGCTTTGCTGCTGCTGCTGCTGGCTTCGCTGCTGTTGCTGCTGCCCTTGGTTTTGCCTCTGCTGTTGCTGGACTCGTTACTGCTGCCTTTTGTGCTGCAGCAGGCTTTCCTGCTGCTGGTGTTGCTGCTGCTGCTGCCGGCTTTGCTGCTGCCGGCGTTGCTGCTGCTCCTGGTTTTGCTGCTGCTGCTGCTGCTGGTTGAGAGGCTGCAGCTGGTGCTCCTGTCGGTTTTGCTGCTGCTGCTGTTGCTGCTGCCGACTTGGCTGCATCCGGTGCTGCTGCCGCTGCAGGCTTTGCTGCCACTGCTGCTGCTGGTTGTTTTGCTGCTGCTGCTGCCGCTGGTTTTGCTGCTGCTGCTTCTGCTGGTTTTGGCGATGCTGCAGTTGCTGCTGCTGGTTTTGCTGCTGCTGGTGCTGCTGGTTTAGCTGCTTCTGCCTTAGCTGCCGCGGGTGCTGCTGCTGGTGATTTTGGTGTTGCTGCTGATGCTGCTGGTTTTGCTGCTGCTGCTGCTGGTTTGGCGTCTGCTGCTGCATGTCCTGCCTGTTTAGCTGCAGCAGCACTAGCAGGTCCCGGCTTTGCCGCTGCTGCTGCAGGCTTTGCTGCTGCTGCTGCGGGCTTTGCTGCTGCTGCTGGCTTTGCTGCTGCTGCTGCTGCTGGCTTTGCCGCTGCTGCCGCTGCTGGCTTTGCTGCTGCTGCTGTTACTGCTGTCTTTGGTGGTGCTTCGGAGGGCTTTGGTGCTGCAGTGGCAGCAGCAGCAGCTGGTTGCGGTTTCGCAGCAGCAGCAGCAGCTGGTTGTGGCTTTGCTGCAGCAGCAGCAGCTGGTTGCGATTTTGCTGCAGCTGCAGCAGCTGGCTGCGATTTTGCTGCAGCAGCATCGGACTGTGGTGCTTTTGCTGCTGTCGGGCTTGGCTTTGCAGAAGCATCTTTTGCTGCTGCTGCTGTTGGCTTTGCTGCCGCTGCTGCTGCTGTAGGCTTCGCTGCTGCTGGTGCTGCTGGTTTGGCTGCTGCTGGTTTTGCTGTTGCTGCTGCCGCTGGTTTTGCTGCTG